GGGGTCTTGGGTCAGACCTGCAGGGGTGTGTCCCACTTCAAGTCCACAGATTCTTCTTATTGATGGCAAACGCTTCATCCACTGTGCTGCGGGTTTAAAAAGAACATGAAATGAGAAAGGTCCATTTGCACAAGCACCCTTAAATGCAGGCTGCCCAAGAGCTTGTGGTCTGAGCAGTTCTGGAGCCATCTCATTACGTCTGAAGCCGTCCAGCCACAGTCTTAATGCGTCACATGTAAAATACTGCCGTCTCTGCCTGTTGTCTGTTACTAACAAAAACATTAATCCTGGTGCATTTATACACACTTGCTTTTGTTTTGGTTTATGTCAAAATCAATTTGTGACTTTTGAGTTAGATAACTGTACTTCAGATATTTCACATCATTGGGGTAAAAACAAATTATTTCAAGTGGAGGGAGGGGTGGAGAAAGGAAATGAGAAAAATCCAGTGTGAAAAACAATGTATATGAACTTTGTAAGTAAACCAGTATAAAAATTTTGTTTGTGTTTTTTTTTAAAAAAAGAAGAAGGCAGCAGTTCAGGTTTGTTTGAGCTTTTTAAAAATTCTGGTTTATAAAAGAGAGCGAGTGTGACTTTCTAAAGAAAGTGCGTGTTTATCATCTTGCAGCTAGGAAGGGACTAATTGGAGGCGTCCTCGCAGAAACCTGTGAGGTCACCATTCTGCACAGAGCTCTGTGTTTCCTTCCCGTTAGTCGCTTGGTGAGCGTGTAGTTTTGGGCTCCATCAGGACCCTCCGTTTTCAGGCTTCTTGGTAGCCATGGCTCAGTGTCTCCTGGCTGGTTGAAGGCATGAAGAGGCAGGGAGTAGTAGGAACAGAGGCCTCATCACGCTCCATGCTGTCTGTTCTGATTTGTACTCTGGTTTTCTCTGCACAGATGAGTTCTGGTTCTCCGATGGGTCTCTGTCAGACAAGTCCAAGTGCACAGACCCTGGCCTGATGCCCCTCCCAGACACAGCCACCGGGCTGGACTGGCCCCACCTCGTGGATGCCGCCCGGGCGTTTGAAGGTAAGGACCTGCCAGCTCGATGCTAAAGCATAAAGCTTGAAGCATAATCCTGCCGTGCCGTGGACAGTGTCCAGTGTCACTTGGGGTAATTTTGGGGCTTATTTGCCTTGTCTGAGGCTGAAACAAGCAGTTGAAGCCCTGACCTGTGACTGAGACTGTCCTCTGCGAGAACTGTGTGACTGAATGAAAGGGACACTAGACAAGAGATCGCCAAGCCTGGATTGTAGCTCCTGCACCAGCTGTGAGCTCAGAAAAGTCGCAATGATTACGTAGAACCAAGCTTTATCGTTCCTCTACTTGTGATGGGAGAAGATAGAAGGGAAGGGACACTGAGTAAGTTGATGCTCCCTGATTGTCAAGAAGAGCATTGGACTGGCAAGGCCAGAGGTTCTGGTGGTCTAGTAGGTAGGGAATTGAGCTGTTAACCCAAAGCAGGCAGTTCAAGTCTACCAGCTACCCCACTGACAAAAGATAGACAGTCACCTCACATGCAATTTACAGTCTCCTCCCACCTGCCTGTCCCACCCCGTTCACCAGGAACTGCCAGTATCACAGGGGAATGAAGAGGAAGTGAGGACAGGGGGTATGGGAGGGATTAGCTATCAAACCAGAGGGGATGGGAGTACCACAGGGGTGAAGAGAGGGAACTGAGCTGGGTGCTGGTAGGATGGGGTGAGGGTGAGAACACAACACATGCGTCAAAGGCATGGGGCTCTGGAACCAACAGCTGGTCTGTTACCTGCATATTCTCATCAGCTCATGGGCAAAATGTTTGTCTATTAAATATTAGTCTAAAGCTGAACACCCAGATTAAGACAAACTAGGAAGAAAGATTGACCATCCACTTCTGAAATAATAGGCCTTTGAAACCCCTATGTACAACAGAGCATGCTTAGGTCAGACTAGCAGAGGCTGAGCCTTCCTATTGAGAATCACAAAGGAGGAGGAACAGCTGCAATCAGACCCTAATGATTGGAACATGGAATATGAGAAGTATGAGTATAGGAAAATTGAAGATTGTTAAGGAAGAAATGGAACACATAAATATTGACAGACTGGCATTGATGAAATTAAATGGATTGGCATGGGGCATTTTGACTTTCACAATTATATGATCTGCTATGCTGGAAATAGATTTAGAGAAGTATCAGACAGACCAGCAAGTTAAAGGTATATCCCTTATTGTGGAGTTAACCATTAGTGTCAGTGTTGTCCCTGCCTTTGGCACAC